CAATTATATCTTGCTTCAATTGCTGATTTCACTCAGTCAAAAGTAGGTAATATTTCATTCCGGGACCGTAAAAAAAAAGTGGCTTTCATAAAATAATCGCGATGCTCGTAAGGAACTGAAGTTAATACTTGATCAGTATATATTCAAATAAATTTAAACTTGTATAGTTTAAGGCTAATCACAGTATCACCCTCGTGCTCTTCCGCCAAGTTTAATTCATTATTTTTATCAACTTTTTTTTCTTTGTGTAAGAGTTTTATAATATCCTCGTAACTTTCCGGATCTGGAATTAGTTTACTATGCCAATAAGGATTTATAAATAAATAACCATCCTCAGTTAAAAAAGCATCTTGGGTATAAACGTCTAAAGGAGTAACTAAATTGCCACCCGACCTCGGTTTTCCGCAAGATCTACAAACAGTTTGCACCATGATTATTTATGTCTTTTTATATATTCATTTTTATTTTTGCCTCCTTCTACAAGTGCTTGTTGATAAGCATCGTTAGAAACCAATATTCCCTCATTGTGTTCATTAGCCGCAAATTCTAATGCTAACGCTTGGGATGTGTAAAATTCATAGTGCAAAAAATAACAACGAAAAATATCCTCCTTTTGAGCAGTTGCTTGGGCTTTGGTGGCAAGCAAATAAGCTTTCTTAAATTCTTCGTTAGAAATCAAAATGCGTGGAGCACGAGGAGTGGCTGCAAAATCCAAACCACACTCTGTTGCGTAATCTAAAATCTTACGAGAAATAAAACAAGTAAATTTTCCATCGGGAGCAATTTCTCCTTTGTAATTGTCTTCCATTAATTAATTTTTTGAAACAATCGTTCCTCGTTCAATTGTTTTCCTTTCTTGAAATTATTTACCTTAACCTTTGCAAAAATTGTATTTTCAGAGAGAGAGAGAGAGAGAGAGACGATTTATAATGTATTCAATGTATTTTTCCATGAAATCTCAATCAATTTCTCCTTTTTTATCTCCTTCCTGAACAACGGGAAGTTTTACTCTTAAATCGCTAATAACTTTTTCATTGGTCCGATAACCATAATGAAATTTTTCCGCATAAGCATTAGTTAGCAAGGAAGCTAAAAATAATCCTCTTTTTTCATTTAGTCATTCAGCTCTTAAAACCCAAACATTTCCATCTTGGGCATAAGTTCGATAGAAACCAATAGGCTGATAAAAGAAAGTCCCGAAGCCACCCAAAGTAATACATCCGTCCTTGGCAGGTGTTTCTAAAATTATTTTTTCTACAAAACCAACACAGCCATTATTTTTCCCACTGTTGGAAATTAGAGGTATAGTTTGTTTTAAATCTTGAAAATAAGGTTTGGCACTCTTGGTTCTAAAATTGTCTTCTTTGGGGGCGGGTTCAGCATGAAATAGACCTTTTTTATCAGTGCCATTTTCTTTGTCTTGATTGTAATTGCTAACTAATTTAAATTCTTTCCATTTTTCAATATTGAGTGAGAAACTTTCAGGTTGATTATTTTCTAATTCCTCAAATAATTTGGGTAAAGAAGTTGGTAAGTTGTCAATTCCTTTACTGATTGTCATTATATACCCTAAGTAATCACGAACGCTTTCCATAAATTGTTCTTCTTTTACTTTGGAAAAATTAACTGGCAAATAAAATTCAGGCAACCAACTTTTTTCACTTTGTTCAGGAGTAAATAATTGAGAGGTAGAAATATATTCTTCCTCTTTTTCTTGCTTATAGTTTTCTAGTCATTGCTTTTTAGTTTTTTCTCAACTACCTTTTTCTCTTTCTTCTCTTTTGTTATCTTTGATTTCATGACCATCATCTTTTCAACTGGCTAGTCAGGTTTTACCTTGATGGGGTTGCTTGGCTACTCAAACCATAATAACAGTGGGAGGCTGACTTTGAGTGCCATAAAATAAATCGCCGGGCATGGTCATCACTGCTTTCAGAGTATGATTTTCTAATAATTCTTTCCTTTCTTTTTCTAGAGGTTTTGTGCCTCGAGCCACTTTCATATGAGTAATCACAACAGCTTTTTGACCTTTCTCAATAAACTTTAATAAATGAAGAATAAACTTAGCTTCATTATAATCTGGTTGGCTATAAGGAGGATTAAGAAAACCAACTGTAAAACCTACTTTTTCCAAAATTGGCTCTATCATTGTCTGTCCCTCGGTTTTTTTGTTTTCATCGAAGCAACTAGTTTGAGAAATATGAGAACTACCATCACCATGTAAAATCATGTTTATCCAAAGTAAGTGATAAATTTCATCATCGGATTCCACTCCATAAAGGTTATCCTTAATCTCTTCTTTTTTAAACACTTTATTTAGTGCCATTACTAGAAAAGTTCCTGTTCCGCAACAAATATCAAGGATTTTGTCATCTGGTCCTAAATTTACTAAATCACAAAATAACTCTGCGATATGAGAGGGAGTTAAAACAATTCCTAATCCTTTTCCATCACCAGGCGAATATCTTAAAAATTCATAATAAAACTCGCTAATTATGTCAGTGCTAGAAGTTTTTAGTAAAGGGTAAACCTCTTCTTGGATTTTTTTTAAAATAGAACTAAGTCGATGCTCTTTTTTCTTTTGCTTAATCAATAAATGAGAATTGCTGTCGATTAGTTCTTGTAATTTTTCCTTCAAGCGACCATATTCTTTTAATCCAAGAGATTTTTTTGAGTTAAGAGCATTTTTTAGAAGATTAGGAATATCTTCTTCTTTGTCAAAATTAGCCTCAGCAACCTTTTTGTAAAAGTCATCATCTCGCAAAGCCAATAAACAGGCACCGATAAAAAGAGGTTTAGCTTTATTACCAAATTTGATAACTCTTAAGCGATTGTGTAAATCTTTGGTTATTGAGCGCAAATCAACCTTTTCTTCTGTCAATCTTTCCAAATAAGACTGTCAAGGTAAAAGTGTAGTTTCAGCGATAATTTTATTGATAACTTGTTGATGGTCTTTTAATCCTTGTTTTCAAATCCCAAAAGAGATTAATCACTCTTTCTCTTTTTCAGCATCTCCTGTTATGGCTAGAAAAAGAACTGTAAAACTTTCTTTGAAATATTTAGCATAATATAAAACTCCATCTAAATTATGAGAAGCAGGTTTATTAAGTTCGGCGGTTCTATGTTTATCTTTGTCTGATTTACATTCTACTATTAAAACTACTCCTTTCTTTTTTATTTCAATTATCATTTCGGGTTGTCCACTTCCTGAACTACGAA